GGTTGTTTCCATCTTTTGGCTATTGTAAATAGTGCTGCGATGAACATGGGTGTGCATATATCTGTTCTTGTCATGGCTCTCACTTCTTGAGGGTGTATACCTAGTAATGGAATAGCTGGGTCAAATGGAATTTCTAATTCCAACTTTTGAAGGAATCGCCATACTGCTTTCCACAATTGTTATACCATTTCACAGTCCCACCAGCAGTGTATGAGAGTTCCAATCTGTCCACAACCTCACCAGCATTTGTTATTTTCTGTCTTGTTGAACTTTGCTACTAATGCTGGAGCAAAATGGTACCTCATTGTTGTTTTTATTTGCATTTCTCTAATAGCTAATGATCGTGAGCATTTCTTCATGTTTGTTGGCTGCTTGAATATCCTGGTGAGGTCCTTTTAATTTATTTTTACAGATTTATTTCCTCAGGGATCTATCTTCAGCATTCTTCACTCTGTATGTTCTACTAACATAATCTCACCCACAGCTCAGTGCCCTGAATTCCCCAATGGTCTTGCACTTCTGAGTGTTTATACATGCTGCTCCCTCAGCCTCAAATATGTATTTGCTCCTCCTGTTTTTCCACCTAATAAACTACTCCTTCCAAGACTAAACTCAGGCATGTTCTTCTCCAGGGTACCTTTGCTGACAACTTCTAACCTGGGTTAGATGCCCCTCTTACACACTCCCAGAGCACCCTGTACCTACCTCTGCCATTCCATACTACATTAGATAACATGCTTTCTTATCTGTCTCCATGAGACTGTCTTCAGGGAGAGGGCCATGCCATACAGTTATACAGTAGCCTCAGTGTCATAGTACATTAAGATATGTTTGTTGAAAGAACAATGGAATGAATGAATAAATGTGTAATGATTTGGAGCAGACAATTGGAGTTTTGGAAAGGCTATAGTGAAAGAAGATAAGAAAAGAGAAAAGGAAAATGATTGGTATTTTTAAAGCTATTTCTTTTGTTCTCGTTGCTTGGGTGGCATAAAGTTGTCATTTCATTTCATCAAAAGTTTATTGAGCATCCAGAATGTGCTAGGCACTCCGCTAGATGCTAGTAATACAAAGATGAAGATCAAATCAAAACAAAACAAAAACAAGTCCTTATTCTCCCCCACCCCCACCCTATTTAAGGTAGGTTTGGCTCGGGCATATACCCTTCTCCAAGTCCTGTGGCTCCCATTGGCCTGAGCAACTTTCCCCTGCACACATTGTCTCATGGATCAGGCACCTTGGGAAGGTTGGGGAATCGGTTCTGGCTCATCGGTTCAGTTGAGCAGTTGTGCCTTTGCTGCTAATTGAGTTGCTGCAAAGGTTGTTGTTGTTGTTATTTGCCGTGGAGTCGGCCCAGACTCATAGCGACCCCTCCGTGGGTTTCCGAGGCAGTATCATTACGGAAGTAGGATTGCCCAACCTTCCTTCTGAGGAGTGGCTGGTGGGTTTGAACCACCAGCCTTCTGGTTAGCAGTCAAGTGCCTTAGGCACTATGCTACCAGAGCTCCTGCAAAGGTACACCTGCTCAAAGGAGCCTAAATAAGTGCATAGGGATAGGAGCAGGGAGGGGCATGCTGCTGGAGGGAGGGGGCAAAGTAGAAATGTTGCTGCCCTTGGAGCCTGGGACAAAACTTGCCCTGGTATGAATTTGCTTGGTGAGATGCTGGAGAAGAGTCAGAGCTGGAGTTTAGCAAGTGAGGGAGGGGCCGGGGGTGCAAGGACACCTAGAAGCATCCAGGAGGAGAGGACAGAACACACCGTGGGCCTTCCTCTCTTTCAGCTTTTTAATTGTCCTCTCTCCTCACACAGATTATTGTGTCTCCTATGAAATGTACAAGTGGCAGTGGCATGGGCATGGCCTGGCTACATAGGAGTCCAGCCCAGGGTCTCTGTATTCTGATGTTAGTGTGATTAGGGGGTCTGCCTTTGTCCTGCCCCCTGGGACCCAAGCATCTGGGAGCAAGGCAGGTGAGTGGCAGGATTATCATGTCCCCCTTACAACCTGGGGAGCAATAAGCCTCCTTCTCCTCCTCCCACCATTTCTCTGGAAATTAAAACCTTATTCTTTTAGAGTTGAAGGAATCGCAACACCCTTCCCAGGGATGATTGTTTGAAAGGCTTCTTTTTAAAGAAGGCAGGGAGTAGGCATAGGTTTAAGGAGTTAAAAAAACAGTTCCTTGCTTGATCTAAGAAGCTCTGATGGCATAGTGCCTAAGGCAGTAGACTGCCAAGTTTCCTGGGCCAGGGGAATGAGTGAGACTCCTCATCTCTGAAGGAGTAAGTCCACCCATCTCGCATTCGCGAAAAGTGATAGAAAGAACTCTCAACAGGGTGCTGAGGAAGGGTGGGCGAAGGCCAAGCACTGGAGGTCTGGGGATAAAGGGTTGCACTTGTGCTCCTCCCTCGCCATCCTGTGAGTACCCAGAAAGCAAGCGGCCGGAGAAGTCCTTCCTGGCAGTGCCTTCACCACAATTCCCCTGGTGCTCGGAACTGCCCCTGCCCATGTACAATCGACATCTGGCTTCCCCTTAGGTTAGGTCTTTTGTGCGTTTTGGGCAAGCGGCCTCTCTAATCTGGGCTTGCCAAAAAATGTGCCCCAGGAATACGGCGTTCCTTGGGAGGGAAAGGGTGGAAAGCATAAGCGCTCCCTAGGTAGAGCACAGGATAGTCACGGGGTTAGGTTACTGATGTTAGTTCCCATAGTGGCCCTGGGGGGACTGGGCCGGAAATTTAATCATCTATATGGGCCTACGAGGGCACAATCCATTCCCACCACAAACAAAGCTAGTAAACCAGGAGCAGACGCAACCCCCTCGCACCACGAGCTAGACTGCCAATCCGCCGTGGCCCCCGATCTGCGCATGCTCACACGAATCCACACAATGGGGCCCCGCGCCCCTACCAAGTCCTCTCCCGCCCGCCCCCAGACCGCTAGCAGCAGACCGCGGGCCTGCCTGGGCCCCGAGGCGGCTCAGGCGCTGATCTCCACCGGGCCGGTCTCATCTTGCTCGCGGATTAGGTGTACGCCTGCAGTCCTCAGGGTGCGCGAGGCGCTACGCGAACGGCCCGGAGAACTGGGGGCTCGCGGTGGCGACGTGTGCGTCCGGCCCGTGGCGGGGGAGCGCGCTGGGGAGCGCGGATAGCGACGGGCAGAGCGGATGGGCAGCCCTGGCGAGCGGCCGGGTATGGTTGGCGACACCGAGTAACCTGGAGGGCCAGGCTCTGTCGCGCTCCGGGAGTCCGGTGTGGGGTTCTCCTCAGGGTCCGGAGAGTCCTGGAAGGACATGCGCTGCAGGCGTCAGCAATACACAAGTAGCAGCGTGCTTGGTACATAATAGGTGCTCAAAAATGTTGAAATGCATTAAATTGAGTGTTTTGACCCCTTACGCGTTTTTGTTCTTGGATAGCTTGGGACAGGAGTTAGTTGTGGTATGGTGGAAAAATCACCGGAGTTGGTGTCCAAGGACTTAGCTTTGAGTCTTAGATCTGGCACTGATTTACCTGCTTGATCCTGGGCAAGTCCTTTCACCTCTTTTAGTCCTGTGTTTCTAATCTCTAAAATGGCCATGTGTTACAGAGTAAAACTGCTTCATAGGGTTTTCTGGGCTGTAATCTTTACGGCTTGTGCTTACTCACTGATCTGCACTGAACACTTTCCCTTGTTACCCTCCCCAGAGGGACCGGGTCTCCGGGAGCGAGGTAAGCACGGGCGGGCTTGTGCTTACTCACTGATCTGCACTGAGCACTTTCCCTTGTT